TGTTTTAGTAAATTTAAACACACAAGACTGCTTTGGGTGCCCATGATGTGCATCTACACCAGCTAACTTCCACACACTGAGGTTCAGATGGTTTTTGACCATATGTAACTCCCACACACATACCTCTCACCAATACTACAGGAAAATGGTAATTTCTTCTTTTCCTAAAGTCAATCAAAAAGAAATAAAAATAGGTTTCCCCCTTCTCCCCTTGCATGGCCTTATGGACTGGTTTGGAAAAATGTGTAGGTATTTAAAGAGTGGTTTGCTGTTGCTGCAATGAGATGATAGATAATGAGTGTGGCAAGAGCAGCTGAGTTACAGGAAAATAGTCAGCTCTTGCCAGAAAGACCAGCATAGTTTGAACTGCTAGTTCATAGTTGTAAATAAATCTTTGCAATTGAGCCTTTGGAACATTAACATAAATTGTTTCCAAATGCTCTAGACCTGCATGGCTCATGTCACTAAAGTTGCCAGACACAAATCTTCCTTTCTAAGGAGAAGGGAAATAAGACAGAAAGTTCTCCATGTGCACAGTTCTTCTGGAAAGATAGTCAAGTGGGAGAAATGTGTGTACATCTTGGAGGACTTTTTATTTCCTGTACAGGTGGTAACAGACCATTCTGCTCCAGGAGCACATGTAGAGCCCTAGTACTATTGACCTAATTGAGGTCAACAGCAAGTCCCCCTTTGGCATCTACAGGGGCTTAATTCTGAATTCTGTGTCTAGAGATACTGTTACAAAAAGAGATCAGAACTTCGCTGAATAAACTAAACAACTCCTACAAGTTTTACACAGTTTGCCTTGGCTTCTTTCTCTCTCTTGTGCGTGTGCATCTGTACTTTCCAGTGTTCAATACCCCATAAGAAGGGTTGAAATAAGAGATGCACAGAACATCGCTTATTAGGCTTGCAGCCCCTAGTTGAAAAAGCAGACAAGGTGTGCTTTTTCAGTAGTCAATACTGTCATGGGATTGGGGAATGCTGGATGATTTCTTAATGACATGATGAGCCATAATTTTTATGAGGTAATACGATAACTTTAGCAATTACTGCTAGTAAAATGAGATTGAGCCAGCAGGGGAAGAAGAGGAAAGAAACATAGATTTTAAGTCAGTCTACTAATTTTTTGGTAATTTTCCTGCCAATTCTTACTCTTCCTGGAAGACACAGTGTGGGTAGTGCTGACATTTGGCATAAGCTGTAATTTTTCTTCTGGGCATGCAACAGAAAGCTCTTTTCCTTTTGAAGATGTATTTGTTATGTCTGACGCTGTACGAGGGAGACTGCATGGCAGAAAAAAATCAATTTCTCCTTCATGATAATGTTAAGAGCAATCTGAAAAAGCATAAGTATAGAAAGATTACTGCAATAAAATTTAAAGACCTTGTTGTACTACAAAGTGGTGTAATAACAATGAGCCTCTGGCCCACAAAGCTTTACAGTCACTAAGTATCAAACACAAGAGGAAGAAACAGATCAATGGCAAGGAGATTGAATTGCGATTTGTGTCCATCCAGAACTATGCAAGTCTTCTGTTTTGTTTTGTTGTTGTTTTTTTTCATAAAGCCCAAAACAGTGCATAAAGACTGCACTAAGCTAAGCATGAGGGGTTTTTACATAACAGGAGTCTATGGACTGTCGATGTAAAGGACCATGTGTACAAAGTGACAGGCAAAACCGCTGCTCAATATGATTTCACATTTATTCATTGTAAGATAATATTGCTAATATTTAGTAAATAGGCCCCGTGATTACTTTACATTTAGTTCTCTCTGGAGCAGAAAAAACTTGCACAATATCCTCAAAATATCACACAATAGATCCTGAGACCCAATCCAAGGCCAGGACTTGAACAGCCTGGAATTTGGGATGCTTAACCCTGAATTCCAGCTTTCTGAATGAAACCACATGAACATGAATTCCTAACTTTAAGAGATATTGGAACCAAAATTGGTCCCGGATCAAATAAAGTTTCACATAACTGAAACCAACATGCAGATCTTGGAAACTTTCCTTTCTTGTCTTTTGATTTCCCAAATCTCTGGAGTTGTTCTTCATATCCCATCCAGAGCTGTCCCTGCAGTGTCTTCAAAGAGTATAGTTCATCCCTAAATCTGTTTGGGACATAGAAATGAGGACTGCCTCTCCCTGCTCAGGGTGATGGGGACAATCTACTGTGACAATCTTAGAGCACATTTAACAAAATTAGATCCCTTCCAGGACAGTGAGGCAAGTGTCCAGGTATTTTCTGAAATAGGGGCAGCGACTATTAAATAATTGTTAAATAAATTATTACACTATTATATAAATGATTAAATAAATATATTACATAATGCTTGCTTCTACTCCCCTGAAAAGCACCTAGGAGACAATACAGCACTCAGGAAGGAACCTCCTGTGACCAAGAGACGGGAACATCCACCTCTAAGGTAATAGTCTTTCTTCCAGTCACAATGCACTTTGGCGGCTTTGGATGAAGTACGGAAATGGTATAAACCTGTAAAGGAATCACACTCTCTGGTTTTTGCTTTTCCACATCTTCACTGAAGAGAAATTTTTCACTCTTTGGTATCACACATCTAAATCAGGGCTAGAAAGAACTAATTCTGCAGAAAAGTGACGAATGCCAGTTCACAAGTGGTTTCTGCTCACACTTTATCTTAGCAATAATGCATATTAAATATACAACCAAATCTTATCATTCAGAAAAATTATCTAATAAAATCTGATAAAAAGTACAGATTTCTGTCCTAAATACAGAATATTTGAAAAAAGCTGTCACTTCTCTCAGAATCTGTCATACATTTACATGTGCAACTGAGTGTACATTGGTCTGACTCCATTCATTTTGCTGAAATTACTCCATGAAGGAAATTAAGTCCTCTCTAGTTCTTTCATGGGGGAGTCCAAGCATGTTATATAGGTTAGGGGTGTGAACAGGCACAAAACAGAGAGCAAAATAAATCCACCATCATCTTTTAAATGTTGTGGTAATGGTTGCAACTCTACTTCAAGAGGAGACTAACTTGCTGGAAGCAGTTGTTAAGGAAATGTCCCTCTCTACAGTCCCTGTTCTCTTGTCTTTGACTTCCATTGCTAGCTACTGCTGTTGGAGATGGGCTAGACAGGAGCTTTGGGTAGTCACTGCACTTCTCTCTGCAGCATGTCTTCTTACCTTCTGTCTTTGTCTTATCAGTCCCTATGATCCTCTCTAGTCCTTAGGGACAAAGAGCACCTAAGGTACTCCCAGCTCCCCTTTGGGATAAGAAAGTTAAGCAGTTCCTAGAGCATCTTTAAGGTCAAAGCAGCTGGACTGCTACTCATTCTGGGTTGTCAGTAGCACAGATGACCAGCTGTCATGATTTTTCCTCCAAGCATATTTTGGGGTTTGGTAGTTTGTCTCTCCTTTTTCTTTAGTAGTTACTTGTAGTTCAAAAGACTTTCCAGCAGCTGAGCCATCACTTACCTACAGCACACATATAAAACTGCTCACCCCTCAGTCTGGGCTGGTCAATTCAGCAGTTGATCAACCATTAGAAAAAAGCCAAGCAAAAAAAGCTTTCTACCCATCAAAACAAAATTCAGTCTGCCCTAAAACCCTGATCGCATTTCAGCTATAGCAAATGGAAGATAATAATAAAAACTGAAATTCTGGAGGAGAACTCAGGATTTCAGAATCTCCTGTGGGTGGCTCCCACTACCAGAAGGATAGGACAAACTCCAGAATCCAGCAACCTGTGCCAAGAACACTAAGCAAGTAACAACTTTTTACTTGAGAGCTGAAGTTGGCAAAAGGACTGCAGCTGCTGTAAACGTCACTTGTGCCTGAAAGACAGAGGTAGCCACTTAAGCCATTAGTACTCAAAACATTTAAGGATTTATAGATCAAATGTGGCTTAAAGAGGAGATGAGGCCTGGCAGGCAGTGAAAATCATGCAGTCCACATGGCATTCACTTTCCATTTGTGAAATTTTCTTTCCTGAGCAGGTAGTTATGCCCTCTCCAGCTGTAACCTCCAAAGAGATTTCAGGTGCAACACATGCTGCAACCCTCAGGTTAAGAAAGAAGCTGATGACTAATGAAACCCAAAATAAATTGTCCCAGGCAATAATAAATATTCATGTGGTTAATCAAAGGCATTTGTGTCATTGTTGCTTGTATGTGCATCCAGAAAATGATAGAGACATAAGACCTGAGGAGCAAACAGCAGTTGTTCCTAATTCAGATAAGCTGAAACATCCTATACAATTTCTTCCACTTGCTTTTCCCCTCCCGTAATCATTGTTTGACATTCGTCTGAGCCAGGGCATCTAGCTCCCATTTGTGTGCCAGTGCAGTTGGATAACTCATTCAGTTGCATCAGAGAAGAATGAGATATACAATCACCAACCCTATACCTCCTGCTGTTAACAGTACCCATAGTCCCATGCATGAGGAGAGACGGAGAGTTGGTGTTTGCCTGCAGGGGAACAATTTCTAGACACTGGCTTACTGAGTACGCAGAGAAGGAAGGTGCAGAAGCACATAACAGTGGTGCCTGAGAGTTTATGTGTTACTAAAGTCTACTAGCAATGAGAACCTTTGTCTTGCCTTATGCAGGAGATATTTCTGAAGATTAGCTGGCTCATCCTCCTAATGTACTTGGCTCCCTCCACCCCCTACAGAGACACCTTGCTTTGGACCTATTGGTCAAATCCCCTTCACAAATTCCATGAGAATTCTTCAGAGTCAGGGGTTACTCCTCCCTCTTGTCTCTAACACTAGTTCTGGTGAGAGACAGATCAGCGGATGGCGGAAGTAGATGGGCTATTGTCATTGCCCTGCACTGTAGAATTTATAGTCCAGTTTCTTCCTATTGTGTTCATTTATTTTGACCAAAAGTCAGATTAAAACTGAGGTACAATGTGGTAAACAAGAATTGATAAACCTTTCCTGGGGTATTGGGTCAAGCGTAGCTCAGTCTGACATGTATGTGCCTGTTTCTGTCTTCATGACAGGATAGCTGGACTCCAGATACCAACATGACTGAGCGCTTTGACTGCCACTACTGCAAAGAGTCCCTGTTTGGTAAGAAGTACATCCTGAAGGAGGACAGCCCCTATTGTGTGAAATGCTATGAAAACCTTTATTCCAATACCTGCGAGGAATGTAAAAAACCTATTGGCGCTGACTGCAAGGTATGCCAGATTTGTGTCTTGTTACAGAAATCTTAGTAGAGTAGCCTGGATACAGAGCTGAGACCTGGAAGGATCCAGCTTAACAGCTACATAGGGGGTTTTTTTGCTGGGAGAGCATAGTTTCTGGAGCTCTGTATCTGCTTTTTATCACTTCATTTGTCAAACCCTTCTTTACCAGGCATGGTAATAGAAATACCTTCCTGCAAGGTATAAAATGATCTGATGTAAGAAATTCTCTCTAAGTCATTAGGAGAGTCTGTCCTCAGGGCCAGCTGCGATCTGGAAGGGTGGCAGAAGCAGATTTTTCTTAACTTTGAGTCAGAGGGAGGGAAGCCACTGCTGGCTTTCCAGTGATCATAATTCTGTGGTCATCAAAGAGACAAGACATACTCAAGAAAAAGTCTCAACTTGGAGACTACAAAATCTAGGTAATCGCTGACCCAAGTAATAAATCAGATAGAGTTAGAAAAAATAGCCTTTTAAATGATGATAAAGGAGTCTAACTAAAGGTTGGAAAGGACAGAGAAGAGACTCTGCTTGAGCTGTGCACTGCTGTACCACATGGAAACACCTCCCTGGTACAAATAAGGTGTAACCACCTGCATTTCTTTTAAGTTAATCAAAACAACTGGAGTTCATGCCAGTTTCACCCTGACTGAATGAAGACAGAGCAGCCATCCAGTGAGGTGTCTGTTGGACTGCTACAGACTGACTCCATCCAATAGCCGTCCTCCTTGCACAAAATTGACCTGTTCAAAGTTGGGCAAGAGTTTCACTGACAGAGTGAGATTGCAGTAGAACTGCAATTTGCATTGCATAACCATAGGATTCTTGACTGATACAAGGAGATCTGATGTTTGATTTCCTCCATTGCTTATCTGTACCTCTAGAAGCACCAATTAATTCCTATTAGTGATACTACTACTCAATCACTAGTTCAGAGATACAAAAATATATGCTTACTCAGATTGAAAAAAAAAATGTTACATGTCTTCCAAATAGATCTACTCCACTCTATGGGCAAATCAGTGGGAAAGTCCCTTTCAGAAACTTTAGAAAGGTGAGAATGTTTCATCATCAAGACAGGGAACTGGCAATAGTCTGTAAGGGGGTATAGAATTGCCAGCTTTCCTACAGCTCATAAATATTCAGATTAGAGAAGAGATACAGCTGGCCTGTCCTGACCTGAAAAAGCAAAATATTTTTGTCCCATTCCAGAATGTGCTTTTGTTTTAAGGTCTCTTTCTAACCCCCTGAGAAGATATTTCCATGTGTTGATATTCAAGAATTTAAAAACTTGGACTGGCTTTAACAAATCTCGGTCAAAGTATTCAGGAATTAATCAGGCTGAACTTTTCAACCCAGATTTATGGATTTAGGGAGTGTGGGTGTTATCCAATATACTGCTTTTTTTTTAGCAAGACACAGTCTAATAGCAGATAGGAAAAAAAAGAAAGGGCCCCTTAGTCTACAATCTAAGAATATTTTATATATGTAAAGAACCAGAACTATATGTGGAAAACACAACTAAGAGATAGTAAATAAATATTTCTTAAAAAGCTATGAAGCATACCAGAAATGAACATGTCCTTTTTCATTTCTATGAAATGTTTGTGCCTGTCCATGCTTTATGTTGTACCTTTTGAATCTATTGACCAATTTTAACCAGATTCTGCCAGACGGATAAAAGCTGAAACTTAAATTGCTACAAGTTTTCTGAAAAAAACCCCAACATGTGCTTGGGTAGAAAAAGACATGCTATGAATGTTCCCACTGAAAAGACAACTAGAGTAGTTTTTCAATTGCAGTAACAGACGCTAGAGAACACATTTGAGAGAGCCCTTACAAATGCCTCAGCCCCAAGATAAGTTTCAGAGCAAGTATGTCCACTATATGACTGAGCATAAATTCAGCTGAGAAACACAAAGTCACAAAAAAATCAGACTTCTGCTTCTCATTAAGCTGTATGTATACATAGGGATATCACGGCTAGGCTTCGCGAACGAAGATTTGGGAAGGGCTCTACCCACATTTCTTGCAAGCGCGTTGGTGGCTAAAAAGGCCAATACGAGATAGGCATGTCCGGTTGCAAAAGGCACAGCAGAAAGACTCCTTAGATGGTATATTCTGCAAGGCACGATTCTTTCTGCATTGTCTTCTCTCCTCAAGGGTGATCCTGCGTGCTTTCTCAAAAGCATCAGCAGCGTTATAGATGGTGTGTCTCCAGGCCTCCTGATGGGAGGCCAGAGTAGACCAGTTATGGTGGTCAATGTGGCCAAGGCTGAGATGTTGTTTCAAGGAGTCCTTGTATCTTTTCTTCGGGGCTCCTCTCTTGCGGCAGCCAGTGGCAAGTTCACCATAAAGCAGGATCTTAGGGAAGCGATGGTCCTTCATCCTGGAGACGTGCCCTGCCCATCGCAGCTGTGTTCTCAACATAGGGATATAAATACATAAGAAATATACCCACAGACATATATGTATGTATTTTTCTATATATCTTTTTAAACATTGCATTTACTTTTTCACCTCTACAAAGAAGATAAATTGCACTGTGTTTGAGAATGAAACCAGTATGTTTACTTCATGTACAAAATGGACTCCACATTTGTTTATATGTTCTGACATAGCCTATGGTTGTAAAATTTGGAACAAAAACCTAGTGGAGTGACAGTGTTATCAGAAAAGGTCACATCTGGGCCTCTGCATCCAGCAGGGGTGCCCATTCTTGCACCCACATTACAACCTGAAAAGTCCCACGGAGCTCACACCTCAGATCTTCTTTTGCAAGTCCCTTCTAAGCCACCATTGTTTTTCTACACTTAGAAAAGCTGCCCTGAGAACCAGGTGCTCCTAATTTCCCTCTTTCCAGCCCTCCCAATTAAAAGCAGCTCTTCTTTAGATGACAGGGTTAAACTAAAGTAAAACAGGTGTTGACAAGGGGACAGCCAGCTCTCTGTCTCTGAACTACTGTAGTGTATCGGCACTGATGCACAGAATCAGTTCACCTGAGTTGAACTTAAGCCTGCTCAGACACTGGTAATACTCCAAACTGACAGCACTGGGATCTGAGAGGATGAAACTGATGCCAGATTTTCCCATTGTGTTTAAGCTATGGCACAGAGAGCCCACAAGATAACCATACTGAAGAAAAGTTTTCCTTGAATTCAAATCAGGGGAAAATTTGTTTCACTATCTTTCTAGTTTTTATAGTAATTTATGGGTAGCTGTGAAAGTAACTGAGTAATAACTGATTTGTTCTTTATTTTAAAAGAACAAATTTTTTTCCATCAAAAAATCCCAGATTGACAACATGTGTCTGAATGACACCTTTGGATTTAGGCCATTTCATTAACTGTAAACAATTCTAGCTGACGTTTCACAGACAGATTAAAAGCTTCACATATAGCATGGTAGAAGGCATTGGCAGGCAGTAGAAAAACACAGTGCCATTTCTCTTACAGCTATTATACATTATTCATATGTTAACATGTTTTAGTATAAATTTACCTTTTCTAAAAAAAAAAAGGCATTTTGTTGCCTACATCCCTGGTGAACACTTACAACACCTACAGTTTCATGCTTTTTTCTGGAAATTCATCCATTATATTCCCATGTGCTTAACTGCTGAAGCATGACTTTTGGTTGACTTCGGCTTTTTTAATACTTTCCTTGCAGATCCTATGGTATAGAAACCATTGCAAAACTAGGAAATACCTACAGTAATCCAGAGTTTAATGCAGTCCACAAGTTGGCCTTGGCAGGCACAAAGGGGTGAACGCTCTCTCTGGAACATGTGAGAATTAAATTATAAGTAGATTGTGAGATAAAGCTACTGTCTCAGCACGGAGGCCAAAAATGAGTCAGAAGGGTCAGTCTTAAATAAACTAAACAAAAAATTAAAACCTCTAGTAACGCAGATAAGGAAAGGGATAAAATAATTATTTTTCTCATTTTACGTATTTAAACCTTGTCCTGACTTGCAGCACTTTTTCAGTGCATTACTGAATCTCAGAGTAGTTGTTGTAAAGTGGAATGGTAAAAGAGGTAGATACCCTAATATCTTGTCATACCCCTAAGGGTCTGGGTCCAGCAAAGTATTGCTTGGTTTTATCTTTTCTCAACATGCTTTTGACAGGTATGTGCCAGTCTAACATACTTAAGTGCTTTGCTACAGGGTGTGTGTAGTGTCCAATCTGCACAGCATTTTGTTGGCAGACCCCGTTTCCTCTGCTCTTCTGAAAAGAGCATTGTGGCAGGCAAAAAAGCCTAATGTACTCTTTGTTTGTGAACAACAAATGCAGTTCCTTTTCTGGTAATAAGCTCTCTAATCTCCTTCTTCCTGTTGGGTCCCCGCTGAAAGCCAGTTCAGGAGAAATGGTAATGCATAATGGCTTCAGTTTACTTAGATTTAAAAAGCCAGAGTAGAAGACAACGTATGAGGAGCCTTAGGCGTAACCCGGTGACCTGGTAACTCTAGTCTTGGTGGTCTTCTAGGTTTTGGATTTTTTTAAAAACAATTTTCTAGTTTAAAAAAAGTCACATACAGTCACACCATAGAGGCTAAATAAACCACACTGAAGCAAAACTGTACAGAAATGTATGGAAAAGCTGTTAAAACATCATCTTGCCAATGTTAACAGTTATTTTGTCAAAGTTTTCTTTGTGAGTGATGTAAGGAAAATAAAAGAAAATAAAATTACTTTAAAAGTACATAATGGCTTTTCAAAACCATGAGTTTCAAAACTGTTTTGCATGGCATGACTCTAAAAAATTTCAGATACAAATAGGATCTTGCATCAAGTTTTGCTTACAGTCATCTGAGCACCTACAAAAGATCTCCGCTTGGTTGGCGCTCTGATGTCTGTTTGAGAAACATTCATTGTTCATTTGGTTGTGTCAAGTAACCCTGAGCTGAAATTTTCAGCTGAGGTTGATACTGAGATCAGGCCGAGAAAAGAGCCCATTAAAATATGAGTAGTTTCAGGGATTGCTAATTTAGTTCATTTTTAATCTTCAAATGAAACTATATGAGAGAAGGATTATTTTCTATATTCAGAAGAAATGTCACTGAACGAAGTGTTAAAAATTCTCCCTCCAAATACTGCTACAGGATTTATCACAGCTCTGCAGAGATGGTATTGTCCTCCTCCCTTTCTCTTTTCCGTAGTAGCACATCTCGAACTGGTTTGGTGCTTTCTGAACTTCAGCTGCAAAATGCTTGTACAGGGCAGAGCATGTCCATGAGCATCTGTGTGCATGCATCTCCCATTCCACTTCTCAAATGCCAGCCTATGGTAATTCTTCAGTCTCTTATCTGTGCTTTATCTAACAAGTCTCTTATATATGTTCATGGGTGCATTCTCTAACAAGAGCACATGGCAGTCAGTTTTCACAGAGGCACAGATGATAGCAGAAAGAGTCATTCTCTATATAACTCTTTTAGGCAACATAGGAGGTTGCATTAAAATCTACACTTAAAATATGTAGCACCAGGGACTCATTTCCCTTGAGCTGCATAAAACAGCTGACAAGTCATGCCTATCAATATTTTAAGTATATACTGCAGTTCTGAGTCCACAATAGTAATTTTATGGTTTGGTTCTTCCTGGAAATCCATGCAATAAACAGGAATTAGTTGTATATCCCTTGTAACTTCTGCTGGAACAGATTTATTTGGGTTACAATCAGCTAGCTTAAACTAGTATTCCCATGCCTAGACTAAATCTGATGCTCTTTCAGCTTAACAGAGAACCAGCCTGACATTCAGATAAGTTTGAAGTCAGTTATGCACATGCAACTTCTCCAGTGTAGAATCTACTCCAGATCAATACATCCACAGCTTATGAACAAGCCAAAGGTTCCAGCAATATAAACAACACACTGAAGTAGACCAAACCTCCTTTTCAGTGACTTTATTACACTGACTTAAGAATCATTATGCATATATGGTTTCATCAGTACCTTGGACTTCCTTGCTTTCTGATGTGACAGATTCAGAGAGAGAAGGCAATATCCAATTCATGATTCTAATATTTTATTGTAGGCATCTCAAAGCCAGGCATCTTAGATTCTCTCTACATTCAATGAAAATACCTGTTATAATAATCCAAAGTATTTGAAGATTATTCAGTCCAGCCTTTATCTTGGGTACTTTGTGTTGTAGTTGTTCTTCATCACTTTGCCATGATGAAATATCTGCTACTTTGACCTACCCAGCCACTACCTATACAATTTGCCATCATAACTGATGCAAGGATCAAATCTTTCATCATTCACACCTAATCTTTTTCTTCATTACTCCTCTTCTAAAAGGTATGCACCTAACCCAGGGTAAAATTTTATTGATAAAATAAGCAGACATCAGTGCATGAACTGTGGAGATTAAAAGATAGCTTGCAGAAAATTGCAAAAAGAGGAAAAAGGCAGCGAGTGGGGAAAAAGAACGGAATACATCATGTTGCAAGAGAAAGACAAACAGATCTGTTGTGATTCTACTTTCTACCTGGAAAATTTCACATTTTGGAAATCACTATTGGCTGTATATTGTATTCTTTTCTGTTGAAAATATAATCTGAGATCAGATTTAGGCTATTCAACTTCATTTAAAGAGAAAAAAATGTAAACAACTTCTGAAGAAAATTGTTTTCATTTTGCTATTAAAAAAGATTAAAATTTTACGGTGAGAAATTTGTGCTGTTTCAAAAGGAGCTAGCTGAAAATAATAGATGAGCTGAATAAACAAGTACCTGGAAGCTGTAAAGTGGGAGTCTTAGATATTCTGTCACAGAGTGCAATCTCAGAGATGCAAGACGCATTGGTACCAACTGTTATTCACAGTAATTTAAGAAATTTAGGTGAGTAGTGCAGATGTCCAAACAAAAATGCTTAATTCCGTGGTCAATTTCTAACTGAAATCACTATCATTTAACAAGTTACTACATATCAGCTAAGCTAGATGAAACTATATCAGTGTTTCCTATTAGGTACTTATGAGAACAAGGCTCCTGAAGACACAATGTGCTGTTATTTTAAGTTAACCTAGATCCACAGTATCTTTTGTTTGCTCTGAGCTAAGATTGCTCATTTGGAGTTACCTGTGACTGTACTGACTGACATAGGTTAGGCCAGATCAGGTACAAACACTTTGTGATACTTTACACAACTAAAAAATCTGGTATTCTACAACTCATTCTTTTTCTTCAGTTAACCAGATTAGTTCGGTGCCTGCAATAAATACATAGTGGATCTCGAGCTAGAACCTGAGAAGTTATTTCTGCTTCATTCATGACAGTACTAACCACTTACACTCCCAACCCAAACCAAAGCCTATATATTTTGGGGTAGACACCTTTACTTGTAATGATCCAAGCTTCATTTTATTAGAAATCCAAAGTTACTGTTCAAGTGTTACGCGATTAGGCCACCTTAATTCAAATTTTAAAAAGCACAATTCATTTCTTTAGGTCACAATTTTTAGAATTTTTTTTTTTAATAATAAGAGGACCACTGTGGAGAGTATTTTAAATACTTATGCGCTCACATTAATCATTTGGCCAGTATTCTGGATCACTGGGTGCAGGTACAATGTGATCTCGCATCTTTCAGTCCAATATATAGGTATATTGAAATATAGGTAAAACAAAACATAAGAGTCTGTAAAGATTTATTGCAGTGAAAAAAAACCTAAAGAGGTCAGATCTGTTTCACCCTTGGTGTAAGTCTGTTGAACTGAAAAAATACCAGAAAGCAGTTGGGGAAAAGGATTTCTGTTCAGGAGTGAATATGTATGAAATTACCTAGGAATCACCAATAGTTAAGGCAAATAGGGTAAGTCTGTCACACCTATGAGGTTAACAAGTTTTAATCTGACTCAAAAGTGGAGTTTTATTCTCAAAGGAAATACCTAAATGAAATTAGTTGTTCCTCTGCTGCATACAAAAAAAGTTACCTTGAACTGAAAAAGGGTCAGTAGTTGTCATGAGCTGTTCTTAGTTATCACAGCAAAATAAGTTCACCTTCGTCAGAACATTTTGTTTTCTTGAACTGTACAGATTAGTCCCAGCTCCTGGCTGCAGTTCAGATTTGGATATATTTGCATTATCTGAGCTTCTAGTTGTGCAAACTGTTCATTCCACTTGCTTTGTGGTTTTGGATTTCTACAGGATCTGTCTTACAAGGACCGCCACTGGCATGAAACCTGCTTCCACTGCTTCCAGTGCAAGAATTCATTGGTGGACAAACCTTTTGCTGCAAAAGAGGAACATCTACTTTGTACTGACTGCTACTCCAATGAATACTCTTCCAAATGTAATGAGTGCAAGAAGACTATTATGCCAGGTTAGGATGTTCACTTTTTGGACTGAGAAAAGATTAGGCTAAATATTAAGCCCAAACTCAGCAACATTTCTGATAGATCTTTTTCCTTGACTATTTCTGCTAAGTCATGGTCATCTATGTAAAATATAGTTGATTGTGCATTCTAAGCCATTTCCATGACTAGAACATGTAATGTTCGTAATGTTCATAATGTTCTCCTCATGGCAGAATTGTTAGTCACATGAAAGAGATAACTCTTGAAAATTAGTATGTATTTTACTTAGCATTTTTATTAATGGGATTTATAATTTTTTTACAGCAATATTCATTAAAAGGCTTTTGATGTCTGGAAAAATAATATTGATCTTTCTATCCAATCTCAACTTTGTCTTGATTGACTTTCACTTCTTGAAAACTGGAAACAGCTTGCAAATTTAACAGCTTACTTAATTCGAAATTTAGCTTTTTATGTGATTACTCTCAGAAAAAAATGAAAAATTCGTCAAAGTGACTCTGAGGTCATTCTTGAGCACAAAGATATGAAGAAACAGGAAAGAGCTATTTTCTTTTTCAATATGAAACATGAGGTTACAGTAATAGATTGTTAAAACCTCATCTGCTCATGTCAATACTATAACATTCTGTAGTAATCTGAGGGCTTTAAAGCGAAAGGGCTATCAGTGCAGAAATAAAATATTAAAAGGCAATTTGAAGAATCCTTGTACACACTCCATTATGATTACTAGTTACTTTGTCAGCTGATTCTGACATTGGTCACCTTAGACAAAAGGAGAAAATCACAACATTGTGCTCCTAAGGTGTAAAAATGAGGGCTTGATGATAAAGTAGGACTTATAACTAGAAATAATAACAATATTTAAAAGCAGCATTGTCATGACATGCCTGTTAAATACTAAAGTAATTACAAGCTTTATCTTTCGATCCTTCTTCAAATTAAACTCACATTGACTTCAGTCCAGGCTCCCCCTGCCTTGAGTTTCAGTGACAACACAGTCCCTGAGAGAGAACAGCTGAAAATGTGAAAATAAAATTCTAGACGATAAAAAAAAAATATTTGCACCTCCTTTTCGACAACATCATTCCTTCAAGGACTGATTTGTTTGCTCTTTGGCACGATATAGAAATTTAGCAGCACAGAGAGGGCATAATTTTTAGAAGGCGTCCATTAATAAAATGGAACAGAAATATTCAAGCATATAAGCATCAGGCAGAAAGATAATTAACAGTTCACTTACTTCTGCTGCAGGTAAATGCTTTAAAAAACCCCACCACCAAACAAATCTTGAAGTATGCCTCTGGGCAGAATTTAATGAGACCATAAAAGAAAAAGAAGAAAAACATGCAACTAGTAAACAAAGATGAATTAATGCTTGAGAAGGGGAAAAATGGCAAAACTTCACACTGCAAGTAATGGTGGGGCAGAGAGTTAGCATTAAGGGCATTAGTGTGGTTCTTCGTCATTAGCCAATGTGTTCGGCTTGTCGGTCTTCCAAGCATTTGACATCATGTTTGTTGTTACAGGCTTCAAGAATGATGCAGAACTGTAGGAACAACATTTGTTTGTTTATCCTTCTGGCCAGTATCAAATATTCTGACTTGAAGTGGTAAATAGGAAATTATACAGTGTGGAAAGAAATTTGTCCACATAATAGGACATCTCCAATTTCCTGGAAGGGCTCAGAGTCCACCTGTCATACAGTGGACTGAATCTGCAAAACAAAGTATCTGAACCCTAAACCTTGATTCTAGAGAATCATTCATTTCCTAAGTACTAAACCACTTTTCTATTTTTCATTTAAGGACTATTTAAAGATTTTTCTCCCTTTCACGTTGCAACTGTGTCTTCAACTTAGAGAGAAAACTTCTTTTCTACTGAAAGTCTCAAGAGACAGAAAAGCATTTGGATTAGGTGTTGCTGGCCTGGAAATGATTGCAAACTTATAGTACACCTCAATGACGACAGAAAAAAGACCTCAGAGCAGATATGAATTAGTCCTTTGTCTCGGACAGTGACTATACTTCACCGGGAAAGGGAAGAAAGACAGTTGCCAGGAATTGGATGCCCCATCCCTGGCAGTGTTCAAGGCCAGGTTGGATGGGGCTTTAAACAGTGAGAGGTGTCCCTGCCCATGGGAGGGGGTTTGGAACCAGATGATCTTTAAGGCCCCTTCCAATCCAAACGATTCTATGATTCTATAATTAACCAGGTATCTTGCTGTTATCTGGAAAAGAAACAAAATAGACTTGAAATGAATGAAGTCAATCTTTAACAAGGAATGGCCTTACCTTCACTCAGCACTAACAGCAGCTTTTATTGGTGTCTCTCAAGTTCGCCAGAATCTTCCTTTGCATTAGAATTCATTATTAGCCTAATAATACCACAAAAAGGTGTTTTAAGCCACATGTTTCTCTTCTTCACAGGAGGAGAAGAACCTCTTGCTCTCCAAAAACTTTAGATGGTATTCAATACTACACAAAGCTGGTAGAAACATGAAATAGCTCAGAGCTGCACTGCTTATTGACTGACAGCCAGATGCCAGGCAAACAAGAAGTATAAATTGCATCCATCTCATCCAGAAGAAGTTCAGTTGATGCTCTGGTCTCATTACAGGTACTCGGAAGATGGAATACAAAGGCAACAGCTGGCACGAGACCTGCTTTATCTGCTACCGCTGCCAACAGCCTATTGGGACAAAGAGTTTCATCCCTAAGGACCATCAAAACTTTTGTGTACCCTGTTATGAAAAGCAATTTGCCATGCAGTGTGTCCAGTGCAAGAAGGTAATACTCTTACTTTACTTACCTGAAACCTAAGGCATTGAAGTCCATCCCATTCTATGTCCAAAGAGGTAGAATATCTCATTTTTGTATGTATTAAAAAGATCCAGAATCAACTGATTCTAAGAGATATTTTCAGCTCCCATCCTTCATCAGGTACAGCATTTGCTACAAAGAGACTTCTCTTAGGGTTAAACACCCCTTTATATTGAAAGCATACAGAGAACATACTAAAAAAAACAAAAACAAAACAAAAAAACAGCAACAAATAAAACAATAAAAAAAAATAAAAATTACCCTCATTCCAAAATAATCCATCAGATATCACATACCTAAACATTTCAGCTGGAAAGATAAAGATGGAAGGAAGATGAGATAACACAGATCATTATTTTTAATATTCTAATGACATTCAAGACAGAGAGATGAGCTTTACATAAAGCAAGTGCTGCTCCTGAAATAAACACCAGTATGGTTTTCTAGGCTAAGGACCTTTTATTTGTGAGTTTCCTAAATTTCATACACAGACACTGAAAATATTTTAGAATTCCTTCCTAAAGAGACTTGTCTCATCATTTTGGAACTAACAAATCCCACTTTCCTAGGGATATATGCATAGGCAAAGGCAATCAAAATTATGGCTATATCCACAATAAATTTCTTTTCCCACTGCCACTTCTTCCTCTCCCTTTACCCTCTACATACCTTCAGTCACCGCCTGTGCCCACACTACCCAGACTTTCTTCCAAATGTGCTATCTACTCATTCACCCTTCCAGTCAAACAAAGCTGCAGCTTGGCCAGACATACAAACTGGCCAGAAACACCTGCTTCTTTTCAGCTGCATAGGCAGAACAAAATAGGTGAAAGCTAATTTTTTCTTTCAGCCTTTTACCAAAAATTTACCTAGTTACCCTTACTACCTCCTACCCATCCATCCATTTTCTGAAACTTCTAGGAGTTTCAAATTTTAAAAACTCTGCTTATTGTCCAATTTTAACCACACTTGAGAACAGGCTCAACTCGGGAAAGAGGTGAAGACAGACATAAATATATACATATACATACATACATGCATACATACACATATATATATATATACACATACACATATATGTATATATATATATGAGGCAATATGATCATGTTCAGACTTGATTCCCAGGGAGTTTTACATTAGTGAAGAAGGGAAGAAAAATTAAACTATCCAATTTTACAGCCTTATTAGGAATACTCAAAGGATCAAAAATTCAGTTTGTTTAAATCAGGGGAGCTGTTTTTGTAGGCAACAACTTCTTGTAAGAGAAAAATCCCTGACAAAGTCTGAAGAAGAAGAAAGTAAAAACTTCAGATAAAATAGTCACAGAATCACAGAATCAACTAGGTTGGAAAAGACCTTTGAGATCATCAAGTCCAACTTGTGACCCAACACCACCCTGTTAACTAGACCACGTGGCACTAAGTGCCACATCTAGGGATGGTGACTCCACCACCTCCCTGGGCAGCCCATTCCAATGTCTGATCTCTCTGTAAAGAATTTCTTTGTAATGTCTAAGCTAAACCTCCCTTGGCAGAGCTTAAAATCATACCGTCTTGTCCTACTGTTGGTTTCCTGGGAGAAGAGACCAACCCCCACCTGGCTACAACCTCCTTGTGATGAGGTCTCCCCTGAGCCTCCTCTTCTCCAGGCTGAACAGCCCCAGCTCCCTCAGCCTCTCCTCACAGGACTTGTGCTCAAGTCCTTCCACCAGCCTTGTTGCTCTTCTCTGGACCTGCTCCAGCACCTCAATATCATTCCTGAACTGAGGGGCCCAGAACTGGACACAGTACTCAAGGTGTGGCCTCACCAGCGCTGAGTACAGGGGAAGAATCACTTCTCTGGACCTATTGGCCACACTGTTCCTGATACAGGCCAGGATGCCATTGGCCTTCTTGGCCACCTGGGCACATTGCTGGCTCATGTTCAGCTTCCTGTCAATCCAAACTCCCAGGTCCCTCTCTGCCTGGCTGCTCTCCAGCCACTCTGTCCCCAGCCTGTAGCGCTGCATGGGGTTGTTGTGGCCAAAGTGCAGGACCTGGCACTTGGCCTTGTTGAACCCCATCTCATTGGAATCAGCCCAACTCTCCAGCCTGTCCAGGTCCCTCTGCAGAGCCCTCCTGCCTTCCAGCAGACTGACACTCCCCCTCAGCTTGGTGTCATCTGCAAATTTGCTGATGATGGACTCAAGATATTAAACAGAACTGGGCCCAACACTGATCCCTGGGGGACACCACTAGTGACCGGCCGTCAGTTGAATGCAGCACCATTCACTGCCACTCTCTGGGCCCGGCCCTCCAGCCAGTTCCTAACCCAGCACAGAGTGCCCCTGTCCAAGCCTTGGGCAGCCAGCTTTTTCAGGAGTATGCTGTGGGAGATGGTGTCAAAGGCTTTCCTGAAATCCAGGGAAGCTACATCCACAGCCTTCCCCTCATCCACCATGTGGGTCACCTGATCATAAAAGGAGATCAGGTTGGTCAGGCAGGACCTGACCCTCCTAAACCCGTGCTGGCTGGGTCTGATCCCTTGTCCATCCTGTAGGTGCTATGTTATCACACTTAGGATGACCTGCTCATAACCTCGCCAGGCACTGAGGTCAGGCTGAGAGGCGTGTAGTTTCCCAGGTTTTCCTTTGGGCCCTTCTTGGGGATAGGCGTCACATCAGCCAGTTTCCAATCATCTGGGACCTCCCCAGTGAGCCAGGACTGTTGGTAAATGACGGAGAGTGGCTTGGCGAGCTCTTCCACCAGTTCCCTCATCACCCTAGGATGGATTCCATCTGGTCCCATAGACACGTGAGGATCCAAGTGGCTCAGCAGGTCACGAACTTCTTCCTCCTGGATAACAGGAGGGCTATTCCACTCCTTGTTGCTGTCTACCAGCCCAGGAAGCCAGTATTCCTGAGGACAACCTGTCTTCTTGTCGAAAACTGAGGCAAAGAAAGTGTTAAGTACCTCAGCCTTATCCTGGTCTTTGGTAACTATGTTCCCCTCTGTGTCCAACAAAGAATGGAGGTTTTCCTTGGACCTCCTTTTGCTATTGAAATATTTATAAAAACACTTTTTGTTGTCCTCAACTGTCCTTAACCATTCAGCCAGGCTGGTTGTCTTCCCTGCTGGCTCACCTTTCGACACATAGGGAGAGCCTGCTCCTGCACCTTCAAGATTTCTTTCTGTCCGTCCTTCCTGGACCCTTTTGGTTTTAAGGGCTGTTTCCCAAGGTACTCTCTGAACCAGCATCCTGAATAGGCCAAAGTCTGCCCTCCGGAAGTCCAGGGTAGAGGTTTTGTTGATGTCCTTCCTTATTTCACCAATTATTGAAAACTCTATCATTTTGTGGTCACTGTGCCTCAGATGGCCTCTGACCACCACATCTCCCACCAGCCCTTCTCTGTTTGTAGACAGCAGGTCTAATGGGACCCCAGCCCTGGTAGGTTCATTTATCAGCTGCAACAGGTAATTATCCTCCATGCGTTCTTGGAATCTCTCAGATTGCCTCTTCTCCACTGTGTTGAGTGCCCAGCAGACATCCAGCAGGTTATAGTCACTCACAAGATCACAATCACAAGGCTGGTGATTTTGAAACCTCCGCCAGATGCTTGTAGAATAATTCATCACCCTCTTCATCCTGGCTGGGTGGTTGATAACAGACTCCCACCAGGATGTCAGCCTTGTTGGCCTTCCCCCGATTCTGACCCATAAGCACTCAATCTTATTGTCACTGATTTCAAGTTCTAGAGAGTCAAGAGACTCTCTAACATACAGAGCCACACCTCCACCTCTCCTACCTTGTCTATCTCTTCTGAAGAGCTTGTAGCCATCCATGGCAGCACTCCAGTCACGTGAGTCATTCCACCATGTTTCCATGATGGTGACTATGCCATAACTTTCCTATGGCTTCCAGCTCCTCTTGCTTGTTTCCCAAACTACGTGCGTTAGTGTACATGCACTTAAGCTGTGATGCAGATATCACTCCTAAACCTGGCTTTCCATCCTTTGGTTCTTCTCTGGAGAACCTGGTTTCAAACCTTTCCCCCTTCAAACCTAGTTTAAAGCCCTCTTGATCAGCCCTGCCAACTTATATGCTAGGGTTCTTTTGCCCTTGCTAGACAGATGAAGCCCATCCGACTCCAGCAGGCTTGGTACCATAAATTTTGCCCTGCAATCAAAAAAAAAAAAACAACAGAATTCTGCTGATGGCACCAATCCTTTTGCCACCTATTGATAAAATGGGTTTTCCTACTCCTCATTCATCCCTGCTACTGCAGGAATTGAGGCAAACATCACCTGTCCTCCTGTCCCATCAACTAATCGACCCAAATCCTTAAAGTCCTTTTTAATTGCCCCGGTACCTCTTTTATTGATCTCATCACTGCCAACCTGTACTGCCAACAGTGGGTAATAATCACTGGGCCAAATTAGCTAATATCCCTCACCCCAGCCCCAGGAAGGCAGCAGACTTCCCTGTGGGATGGGTCCAGTCAATATACAGGGCCCTTGGTTCCCCTCAGAAGGGAATCATCAACTACAACCACCCTTCTTTTTTTCTTAATAGCTGCGGCTGTGATCGTCTAATAGACAGATTGCAACCACGAGACCCTCCAGACAGATCTTCTTCTTGAGTGTCATCTGCCTGACTCTCTAGGTCCAGGGCCTCATACCTACTCTTTAAGGACACCTGGGGAGGTGATGGGGCTCAGTAGGGGATTCTTTTATGTCTCTGACCAGGGACCTGTTTCCATTCCCTTCCATCTACTTGGTCTGTTCCATCTGCCTGATGGCAAGAGGGGCAGGGCTTCTCTGACTCCTGCTCAACTTCTTTTGAGGTTGAAAGGGTGTGACTCCACCAGTCTATTTCCCTTTCACTTTCCCTAATGCTCCTTAGCCTCTCTACTTCTTCCTTAAGCTCTGCCACTAAACAGAGCTAATCATTCACCTGATTGCACCACATGCAGGTGTCTTTAGCACTGTCCTCCGGTACTCATGCCAGGCTCAGACGCTCCCCACAGCCAGTGACCTGGACAGCTGCGTCCTTCTTGGGGGGTTCTGTCTGGGTTAGAACACTCCTGCTGGCAGCAGCAGCAGTGGCTTTTGATCGTTTGGAAACCATTGCTGGATCTAGTTGAGTAGGAGAGAAAAAAAAACAATCACCGAATAAAACCACACACACCTACCACACAACCCACAAGCAATAGCCGGGAGAGTGGCTGTGCCCTTCCTGCTCATCCCGCCTGTGCGAACTTCCATGAAAACTGTTGTGCCACACCCTCACTGATGTGCCATACCCCTGTTTGCCTGCTCCTGTCCACTTTGCTCCCTAGAGATTCTTTAAATCACCTGCAAGTGGGCCTGGCAATGCCCTCTGCTCATCTGGTTGGCTCCCAAGAGTAGCCAAGCCTGGCTCTTTGCCAAAGTAACAAGGAAGTCGAAATACATAAAGTAGTCATTTCACCACGAAGAAAGAGAAGGTAAAGGAACAGCGATGAGACAGATTCTAGCACATGCATATGAAAAGCGACATAGAAAGAATAGCTTGAAAAACAAAGAGGACAACTGAGAGGCAGATTTCACAACATATGCAGAATAAAGTACTTTTACTATGGGTCTTGTTCGTATAAATTAGGAAATTATAATAAATGACTTGCGTAATTTTCTCAAGATCAACTCCCACCCACAAAAATTTCATCACCCTTCCTCTCTACCAAATCAAAACACAAACCTGCCACCCTTAAAAAAACACTTTCTGTCTTATTTTTCCTAAAACAGGCTATCACTACAGGAGGTGTTACTTACCGGGAGCAGCCATGGCATAAGGAGTGCTTCGTTTGTACTGGATGCAAGAAGCAGTTGTCTGGACAACGCTTTACCTCCAGGGATGAGTTTGCATACTGCTTGAGCTGCTTCTGCAACCTCTATGCCAAAAAGTGTGCTGGGTGCACAAACCCAATCAGTGGTAGGTCTCTCATAGCTGGTGCTTTTATATTTTGTGGAGGGGTTGTGTGTTGGGGTTTTTTTATTTGGTTTGGGTTTTTTGGGGTTTTGTTTTGGTTTGCCTTTTTTTTTTCAGTGAACTACTTCTGATATTAAAAATGGTTCAATAATTTATTCTGAATAACTTGAAAGACTGGAAAGACTATATAATTCAAGATCTATGAAATTAAATACTTATGATGCCTTTCCAGTGCCTAACAAAAAGAAATGGAAGAGGTCCTTAAATTGAAGTTTCCTCCTTTTCCCCTGATTTTCATGGAACACAGTGGACACACACTAACAGACCTGTGGGATATGCATGTTCTGTACATCGTCCCACTTGTGTTCATTAGAGGGATCACTGACCTCAGCAACAACAGTCCCTTCACCAGCAGGAAGTGTCTAACTGGCTTATACCTCATGCTGTATCAGAGCATATTTCTTCCCTGCCTTCTCAGGACATCAACTGAGAAGTCACAAGGCTTTTAGATACCGCTTTCCAGTGCACAAGTACTTAGAGGAGCAACTGCTTATTTATTAAATATCATAAAACTATAACCTCCTCTATGAAGTAATTAGCCTTTAACAGTATGATCTGTACAGTCCAAAACTGCAAATCTGAGTTACACCCGGAGCATTGATGACATAGGTCCTAGAAAAGCCAGTGTATAACCCCACAGGTACTGTTTTACATTCATGTGAAAGAGGCATTTCTCTCTTGAATATTGCAGTCCTTTCTATCGTATAGATAGATACGGTTTGTTTCAAAATGTTGTTACTAAAGGCAAAACTAAACAAAAAACTCACCAAGTAAGAGATATGCCAACTAAATCTTTTCACTGACTTCCAATGCGTCATATTCATTCTAATGCATCATATTGAAATTTTTTGACATTTCGGAGATTAAGCAAAAGACAATTACCACCAAGACATATTTGACTCTTTTTTTTCTTATACAACTTCAATATCCCTTGTGATAACCTCCATAGCCTCAAACTTTGGAATCCTCTCTGTTCTTTACTAACCTGCTTCTTTTCTTGAGACACTCTCCCTTCGTAGCTATGAATCAAGTCATGACACAACCTGACACACTTCTTTTTTAATGATCTAAATGCACTTTTACAAAACAAAAAAATAACTTACTCAGATGCCATAAAACATTCTGTAAAAAACTATCAGAATCCTGTTCAAGGGCAGGTGCTTTGCTTTTCTTCAGCTGCATGTTCTAGTGCCATCCCTCAAAAGTTCATTTCTACCATTATTACCAGTTATAACAGCCTCGCTCACTAACTTAGCTGAAAGCAACAGAATTATTTGGGGATGAATATATTAGTCGCTACAGAATAAGGATGGCAAAACTAGCATAGTAACAAATGGATTTGTCACAATGGCATTTTTTCACTACTCTGTGTCAGATCTCCATGCCAATGAGGGGAGTCTGCATTACTTGACGGCTGATGTGCTATTCTTTGCTTCTTTGGTTTTCAAACAGGACTTGGAGGAACCAAGTACATCTCCTTTGAAGAACGGCAGTGGCATAACGATTGCTTTAACTGTAAGAAGTGCTCTCTTTCATTGGTGGGTCGTGGCTTCCTCACAGAAAGGGATGACATCCTTTGCCCTGAATGTGGGAAGGATATCTAAAGCTCAAACTAAGAGGTGAGGAAGAAGGGAGGAAAGCCGTGCTTCCAATATATAGTCTGAAACACACGGATGTTCAGAACTAGCTTTTCCATTCGTGTCTCGCTGTACTATTAACATTACTTAGCCTTTTTCATTATACTCTCCAAGTCTGGAGGGAAAACAACTCAAATATCTCCAGTAGCAGTGTTGGTGTTTAAGATTTCTACAGCAAACAAAAACTGATTCAAAATACAAGATGTAAAACCATTTGGCTGTTTTTGACATCCATACTATTTTTCATGTTTGTTTTTTTCCTTCCAGTAAATATTCCAGCAAGTGATACAGTTCAAGGATTACAATGGCCACACACAATACATTCATAGGTGGATATTTAGGGTGAAACCTTCAGCCCACTGAAATCAACAGCAAATCCCATTCAATTTCAGTAAAGTGATGGTCTCACCCCCGTGTTCTTGAGCTATGTGACTAGTGTGTGCTGTCAAATCTGTATAAAGACTGCAAAGGTAGAGTGTGTTTCAATGTACAGGGATTTGTGCCATGCCATAAAGAGATAATGATAATTGGGAGTGCGTCACAATAGGTACAGTTTATTGCATGACTAGCTGATCATTGTGGGAAGTACAAGTTCTGATTGACAGTGTCAGTATTCCAGTTAGTTGACATTACACTGCACAGTGTATTTTTCAAAATAAAATAATTTAAAACAAAACTGGGATTGTGGTTTAATTGTATTTACATGTTATTTACAAGTAAAATGTTCTAACAGTCTAAAGAAACACAACACATACAAACACTACCCTTTTTGCACCCAGTCATTGGGAGCGTGAAATTTAGACAATCTTCAGAAGGGTCCTGCTGATACAATATACTGAAGTCAGTGGGAAAATTATCAGCAAAACTGAGTGTGTGAAAATACTGTACTGAATGCAGCTGATAAAAATGCGTTCATAGGCTCTAAACTCCTAACCAAAGTATTTTTCTTCTCATCAAGCAAGGAGGTCAAGACAACTCAAAAGACATTTATCTTTGCAAAAGTCAGCAGTTTAACTTCTATACTAGGGCATGCTTTAATTGTGTTCTGTATTGGGATACATAACACCCTTTGTTGTAGCATAATGTCTGCTACATGTTTGCCACAGAGGCAACTGTCAGAAACAGGGTGCTGGCAGGACAATAAAATCAAAAGGAAACAATCCAAAGGAAGATAACTCTTGTCCCAAATCAAACTGCAAGAAATATGGCCATGTTATGCACTGTACGATCACAGTACACCTTCCAAATGGAATCCATTTGTGTTCAGCAAAAGGAGGAAAGAAATATGTCACACCTCCAACAGGAATCTTCAGATGTGGAAAGATTTAGGAATATACTTACTCTGTGGGTAACTGGGTAGGGAAAGTTTGCTCCTAGTTTCTGCCACCACTCTTGAATTTGTCTCTTTTTGTACCAAGTATGAAGTGCTCACAGGTCATTCCCCTCTCATTAATTCAACAAGCTGAACATATGCATCAGATCAGATTTAGTTTATTGCACAACATTTGAAGAACTTCGCTGACTGACATTTTTGAAGTGCACACTGTGCTAACCAGAACTCACTGAATTCTATCCTTTGGTGATTTCATTTTTTGATGAAAGCTGTAGTAAATAGCCACAAAACTCCCTTTTACATCCACACCTCTCCTTTGGGGTCCGGCAATCCCTCAGCACACTGCAGCTCTGCCCTAGTGCTTTGCTGAGAGAAGGATTACTATAAACTAAAGGGGTACTGCCCCTGTACTCAGTACTGGGGAGGCCGGACCTCGACTACTGTCTTCAGTTTTGGGCCCTCACTACAAGATGAGGTGCTAGAGAGTATCCAGAGAGAGGCAACGGAGCTGCTGAAGGGGTTGGAGCTGGGGGTTGCTAAGCCTGAAGAAAGAAGGCTGAGGTGAGGTCTTATTACTCTCTACAACTGCTTGAAAGGAGACTGAATCAAGATGGGCATCAGCCTCTTCTCTCGGGCAGATAGGATCCCCTAGTGATAGGACAAGGGGAAATAGCCTCAAGTTGTGACAAGGGAGGTACAGGTCGGACATTAGGAAAATTTTCTTCAGTGGAAGTCATCAAGCACTGGAACAGGTTCCCCAGGGAAGTGGTGGAATCACCCACTTCATGATAGAGTTTAGTGGGTGTGGTGGTATCCAGGGAAGAGTTGGACTTGATGATCTTGGAGGTCTTTTCTAACCTTAATGATTCTATGAAGACAGTAAGAGCAGCATGGCTTGCACCTTGCCTCCCAAGTACTACAACAGAGGGCAAAATGGTCCCAGCTTTGGGGAAAGGTAGGTGAAACATGGCAAGGCTGGAAAGCATACCGGCTTAAAACCAAGACTGTTACCATGCAATAGCAGCATCATGCTATCATTCCCAGTACAGCTCTGAATATCCCTCCTTAACACATACCAACACACACGTGCTCCTAGAAACTGGACTACACAAAATACATCCTATACTCTAGATCACTGACAATAAGCCAAGCACAAAACAGAATTCCTATCAGACTGTTACACTAATGCAAGAAGCAGCACTTCACATGATACTACTGCTGCTAAACCTGATCACTTCAAGTCCACTGAAATATAACTGTATAAAATCAACAAGCTTAATTACATCATAAAAACAAGTAAGCACTGCTTTGTCTGCTTTTAATTTAATTTATTTAAATAGGATAAGGCTACTTAAAAGACAAGTCTTTACATACAAAATGTACATTACAATAAAGTTTGCTGTACTCAAGTACAAAAACTGCACAAGTGTTTAGTAAAAGGGAAACAGCACACTATTTTAAAACACACATTCTTACCATTTTACAGCATTCGAGAAGTGCCTTTTATATCGTAACAGTGAATGGAGAACTTCTGGAAAGTAATGAACTAAACTACAGGGTTTGGTTTCAATATAAACCAGTGTTAAAAATGTAAACAAGCTTTCCGATCACTATTGACAGCTTCTTTTAGTGGGTTAACTAAGAGGATTCAGAGTTGATTTTTTTTGTTGTTTTACTAAGTTTGGGAGCACTGTTATTATTTACCATCCATATCTAAAACTGATCTAAATTGCCTTCACCCTGAACCACTGAATTTTAATAAAAATGTTTCTATCAACTTAATTGGATTTCTGCCCTGTAAGGCACTACCCCAATAATTCAGATGAAACATCAAGTTTCACAGAAAACCAAATTCCATCTTAAATTATCAAAGCAAGGAAAACAGGTTTGTGTATTTTTTTCTAGAGTGCAATTACATGTGTTAATGCTCTCAAGGTACTTCTCTGTCTTCCTCTCCATGTCCCTCTCCAACTTCGTAAGCTGAGAAAGCACTGGTTTGCATTCCACTGTTTTTTCCCGTATTTTATAAGCATGATTGTAACCACGAAAGCAACCAAATTTGCTACATTGGCACAATTTTACACTTATGCATGTATAAAATACGCCTATGTACTTAAGAGAACATGGCACTAATCCATTCACTACTTCCTCTCAAAGTTTCATATCAAACAGTCCAATAACATATTTCCATCAGTGCATTTCTTATTTCATATATCAAGAGAAACTTCAATTTGAAGTAACGCTGTTAAAATAGTTCATCTCTCATTACCAGTCTAACTTGCACTGCAAATTTTACACTCCTGTTCTGCACAACAAAAACGAAAAAAATTTCTTGTAGATCATCTTATCAGCAGAACGGTCAGTGTTCTCATCCAAATTAATTACCTTTTTAAAGCCAAGAAGGCTCTTGGGATCACTCTAAATCTCAACAGCTGTTTTAACTATTTAACCAGACGTGGAACAAAACTGAACCTTAGTGAAACAACGTGTGAATCATAGAGACATGGAGAAGATGAACTATAATAACCTTGAAAACTAAAAGTGGGGGGTTTAGTATAGTGTAATATCACCACCTGCTAAAGAAGTAATTAACTACTTGTTGTGCAAGAGTAGACACTCTTAAGGTTACTGGTGATAGTGACTCCAGATTTACAACAGGGAACTGTTAAACTTGTTAAAGCTTCACAGCAATCTGAATCTCTGTAAGGTTTAAAAACAATTTTATTTAAACTGTTTAAATATACCTATCTATTTGAAAATATGGAAGTAATATTTATGTTTCAAGCACCATTAGCTACTTCATGGCCATGTAACATGCTGGATTTTCTTCTTTGCTTCCGTAGGCTTTAGGTCATTCTGAAATACAAAGAAATATATAAGTATTCTTAGGCATACTGTGCAAATAGAAGTCAGTCATTAATCTGACATATTCAAATCTGGTACTATTGCTGTACTCAGCTATAGGCTACTACAATAGCTTTCTATTGCCATCTTGTGGAGAAAGTTAAATATCACAGAACTTCTCTACAGAAGATAAAAATAGAGCAAATGAATTTAACTACCTGCAAATCATGCAAGTATTTGTTTTTTACTAATCTAAAATCAAATATGCAAAAATGTCTTTCATTTATGCAGGTTAGAAACAGGTACATGTTGGAGTTTCAAAACACACTTCCAAAGTTATTTCAGATGGTGTTCTTAAAATACTTGTTGAAACGGGATTGCATAAGGAAAAAAACCCAAACATACAATTAGGGAACCAATTTAGTTTTGTCAAATAGTAAAAGCATTAGAAAAAGAGAAAGAAAATTTGGTCTTCTCTTGTAATGATCTGGATAAAAAAAGATAAATAACTGCCAAGGCCTCAGATGAACTCATCTTTCAAGCCCCTCCACCCCAAGGAACTTGTAAAAATCAAGACAATCTGAAACAAAACAATGGGAGATGAAGTGGTGAAATAATTACCTTTCACCATCTAAAATAATAATAACCAAAGAAATCTGAAAAATTGAGCTTTAATAGTTCACACAAGCAGAGTAAAGATAGGTATATGAGTTTTCAAGAACATTCTGCAACTCATTGCAACTCTTGTCTTTAAGAGTTTCACTGTTAGTTTATTTATAGCAATCCTGTGGACTGCAACCACTGAAAGGTTTAAGAGAATCAGATCCAAAGATAAGAGGGATAGTTCTGTGCTATTCAGCACAAGAACTTCAGTTTTTCTTGAAAGTCAAAGAACAGTAACTTGCTTGAAGAGAAAATAGTCGCTACTGTCATTATACTAAAAATAGATCAGGCTGTACACTCTACAGTCATCTGCCAAGTACACTGGTTCTTCCTGACTGCATCACTTACTATTCAATACCACATTCTTTAATTTCAGACAGTAAAGTACCATCCATAGTACACACTCGCCTAACTTCAAACATGTCTGACCTACATTAACCAAGGCATGAATGAACTTGCAGGTATTAACTGGAACAACCTAACTGTGGTTAATGTAGAAAGTCAAATGTCAGAGGTCATAGCTTCTGAGTGTCAGTTATATAGTGGCACTTACAAGTGCCATCGTTGTGTCTACAAAACATTTAAATGAAATATAAAGAAGCTGTGAGGTGCATACTAAACAAGTTTCAAAAGTTCTGTAGGTTCAGATCTGACCAACGCTTGGAAGAGTTCTAAATACTAAAAGAAGTTAGTAATACGGGTAGTATGAAACACACCTCTCCAGCATAAATTTCATTCAGAGCCTCAGCCATGATTCTTGTAAAAGTTGCTAAAGCTGTCTTTCAGACACATGTTTAGGTGCTCATGTTTAACACGAGTCTGATGGAACCTACCAATCCATGCAGCAAGGATATTACCTGCATTCTTTAAGGATTTTTAAAGAAGATAT